TACAATAAATTAAATATTTTACTAAATGATTAAATTGATGTAAATAGTTTTCCATTAAGTATTAAATTTAAATTTATCTTCAAAACCTTAAGGACAACTTTCGTTGTTTCCACCGCATAAACTTTGAAAACTTTTAGTATTTATGTTAATTTTGCAACAATTTTAGTCAGAATATCTTCACTTGAAGAAGCCAATGTTATGGTGAAACAATTGTTGTGAACAATTAATATATATTTTTGAAACTTTACTTTCGTTTCCTTCAATTTATTTAATGCGGAAACACTATACCTCACTGTTTAGTTATTGATTCCTGTACCAACCATAGACATAAGAATGTAGGGACGGTGCAAGGTTGAGTTTTTTGTAGGAATGATGAGATGTAGCGGATGCCCAGGTTCTATTGATTATTCGTACTTTGTGCTAAGTAGTAGCACTTCAGAGACGTGGGCAATAAAATCTAGGCACCATTACATGGTTACCACCCGTCCCCCCCTTATCTATGACACTTAATGCTTTGTCCATACATTCCCTAAATATATATGGTATTAACTCTCGTGGATCGACTCCGATGTATCCGATTTACAAAAAATAGTTATATCCGTATTCCTCGTCCAATTTTGCGTGCGTAACAAAAATTTCGGAGGGTTTCAGCTCCGATATCCCCTTGGGTACCGCCTTGCCTGTATTAAACTATCAACCATGATAATTGTGATATTCTTCGTTATTTCTCGTAAGTCCCTTAAGGCTTTAATGTTATATATTTACAATCGTTTGATTTCTATTTATTTTTGTCGTCAATTATTCACCGATTTTGTCAAAATAGACATGTACCAATATGGAAATTTTTATGGAAATCTTATTGCCAAATACGTTATTAACACAAGGTAAGTAAAAAGCTGCACCAAGGTTATATGTATACATATACACTGAAAAACTTTTTGTTGGTTTAAACATATTTGACATATTATAAAGATTAAGCATGAGCGTAGATAGGTATGAACTTACAGCTATTGAAGATCTGTCTCCCCCCTCTTGGAAAAATCACTCCCTTGAGAATAAGTATGTAATTAATTCTTACATTTGTTCCCGGGAAACCCATAAATTATGGAAAACTGTAATGAAACGTTATTTACGTAGTGATTTGGTCTTTGTAATCCAAAATATCGTTGGTGTTCAATATAAAAAGTTTCAGTTTGTATTTCATACTTCGTGTTTTCTGTTTCATGTTTCGTGTTTAATTTTTTTTTTATGTGTGTCTTACCAAAGGAACACTGTCCGAATTTCTCGTTTATATCTTCCTATCTTTGCAATTATTTAATATCAACTCAAATAAATACGTCAAAATAAGTGTGATTAAATGATAATATCCTAAAAAAACTTATTTTGGAAAGTAGGGAAAGAACGAATATAAAGATAGGAGACGAAAAATTAGAAGAAGTGGCCGATTTTAGGTATCTAGGAAGTCAGATAAGTCAGGACGGAAGGAGTAGCAGGAGTATAAAGCAGAGGATAGCGCAGGGTCGAATCACATTTAATAAAAAGAAGTCACTTCTATGTTCGCGAACAGTTAATTTAGAAATTCGAAAAAGGCTGTTGTTTGGAGCACGACGCTGTACGGGTGTAAAACATGGACAGTGGGCGCGGCGGAAAAAAAAAAGCGTTCCAAATGTGGTGTTACAGGCGAATGATTACGATACCGTGGATACAGAAGGTTAGAAATGAAGAGCTACTAGAAAGAGTAAGAGAACAGAGGACTCTGTGGAAGTCAATAAGAAATAGGTGAGATAGGTTAGTAGGACACCTTCTCAGGCATGGAGGTCTAGTCATAGGCATATTAGAGGCAGAAACGGAAGTTAGGAGGGGTAGAGGTGGACCTAGATTAGATTACTGTTCGCAAAATGTTAATTATGTGGGTTGTTCTAATTTTAGGGAAATGCGAAGATTAGCTCAGGATAGGAAAGAGTTGAGGTGCGTGCCTAACTAGTCTTAGGACTGACGACCTTATGATGATGATGATGATGAATACTTCCTCTTTAAACCTCTCGTATTGATTTGAGATTATTTTAGCAATTTCATATTTTGTTTAGAATTTTATATACGAAATTGATCTAATGTATTCTTCAAGCGCATAGTCCAATCGGTACGAATGGAAATTGTTAACCGTAAATAGATTACGCTGACAATCATCTACCTCAGGTCCCGAGAAGATTAACCAGAAACTTGTTAAGAAACCGTTGATTTCGATTTTCCTTTATGCTGCACTTTTCGTAAAACATGACCAGCAAACTGCATTGTCTTATATCCAATTTTATAATTCGGTTCACGTAACGGGTGAGCTTCATGCATGAATAATACCTTTCTCCAATGAACAAAAGCGAGTTAGTTTGTCATGTTCTTTCAAAAGGATGCGAGCTTTGAGCCTGCTTGTTTGTTTGATGGAAAACAGACCTTAAGAAAGTTTTGTACTTTGTTTTGTGTCGCGTTCAAAACTATATCTACACCGTGTTTGAAAAATAAGGAAAAGGTGAATGTGAGACAACGCTTAAATTTGCAATTTTCCTTTTCAATTGTTTCTGCTTTTAATGGTTGTAAAAGATACATTCTTGAATACAACTAATTTTTTGTGTTTACGAAAATGTTAATGTATTAATAATATAGTGCAAGAAATTGTCTTCGCGAATACAAAAAAAAAATAATGCTCTTTTTCCATTAAAAGCTACAACAGGATTTCAAAAAGTTATGTTGATTTCTGCAGATTGTGGTTCAGAAAACATTTTCGGACCCATTTGGTTGATTGTTGTTCTGGCAATGTTGTGTTTGTATACGGAATTTGCATTAGCGTTACATTTTGGACCAGTCGAATCAGCATGAAAGGCGTTTAAATTTATCGGTTGAGAGAACATGA